GGAGCGGACGGACGTAGGCGGGAGCGGAGCTCGAGAGAAGGGCAATAGCAGGAGGAGCAGGAAGGCACGGACGGGGCGGGGACGGAAATGGCCGGAGAGGAGGGCGGGAAAGCGGAGCCGGGTGTGAAGCGAGGCGGAGCGAACAAGGCGGAGAAAGCGGCAGAGGCGGCGAGCGAAAAGAGGCGGATGAAGAAGCGGAGCGGGGAACGGGAAGGCGAGCGGAAAGGCGGCCAGCGGATGCAGGGAGCGGAAAAGCTGGGAGCGGAGCGGGAGCGGGCGGGGATATAGGCGGAAACGCGGAGCGGAAAAAAGCGGGAGAGAGCGGGAGGACCGAGAGGAGGCGGAGACGGAGCGGAGCCGGAGCAGGGAGCGGAAGACTAGGCGAGCGAGGCGGGGTGACGGACACAACTGGAAGAGCGGATCGGTAGCGGGGACAAGGCAGGAGAATGAGCGAGGGCGGAGAGAGCGGCGGAAGGCGGAAGCCCGGGAAAGGCGGAGACGGAAGCGGGGACGGAGCTGGGCGAACCGAAGCAGCAGGAGCGGAAGGAAAGAAAGCACATCACAGGCGGGAGAGGAGAGGATGGGATGAGCCGCGAAAGGCGAGCGGTAAGAATAGAGAGACGAGGCCGGAGACGGAAAAGCGAGCGACAGAAAACAACCATGGCGGTGAGCGAAAAACAGACAAGGCAATACTAGGAGCGGAAGCGGGCCCAGGACCAGAGAAGCAGGCCGGTTGAGCCGGAGAGCGGCGAAGCGGAGGCGGGAGCCGGAAGGCGGGAGCCGGAGGCCGGGGAAGCGGATATGAAGGCACGGGGGAGCGGGGCGAGCGGACGGAGAGGAAGGGCAGGTGAGCCGGTGGAATAAGCCGGACGAGCGCAGAGGCGGGGGACGGTAAGGCGGGAAGCCGAAGGGGGAATGAATTGAAAATGCCCATGATATAGCTTATATAATCAATATCACTCAAAACTATGTTCAAACCATCGAGTGCCTTCAATGAGAATAGGTTCGCCGGAGATGAACAATGAGCCACATCTTCCAGAGTAGCTTACGGGACCTTAGTAAAATGGGGAAAACAAAGACGAATGCAAGACAACAAGGCGCAACAAAAAAGGCGGGATGGCAGCGATCACGCGGCGAAGAGGCAGGCTGGGAGCGGGATACAGGCCGGAGAGCAGGAGGCGGGAGCGGGAAGCCAGGCGCAAAGGCGGGAGGAGCGGAGGCCGGGAAGGCGGGAGCGGAAGAGAAGCCCGGGAGCGAAGCGGGAACGGGGCGGGAGCGAAGGCGGAGAAGGGAGGCGGGGCTCGATGCTGTGAAGCGAGGCGGACGGAGAGGCGGGGGGTAGCGGAAAGAGGCGGATGAGGAGCGGCAGACGGAGGCGGTGAGCGAAAGCCGGGGCGAGGCGGTGGCGGGAACGAAGAGCAGGCGGGAGGCGGCAAAGCAGGGGAGCGTAGGCGAGGGGGGGAGCGGATAGCGGGCGGAGCGGGACTGGGAGGAGCGGAAGAGGCGGGAGCGGGTAAGCGGGGGAAGCATCGGCCATGACGGATGAGCGGACAGGCTGGGAGATAGGGAAAGCGGAGCGGACAGCGGAGGAGCGGGGAGGGGAGGCGACGGCAGCGAGCGAGGCTGGGAAGGGGAGGCATGGGAGCCGATCGGGACGGAGGGAGAGAGCGGTGAGCGGCAGGCGGAGCGGACAGGCGGGGAGCGGAGGAGCGGGATGAGCGGACATAAAAGGCGGGAGCGGAGTTCGGGATAGTAAGCGAAGAAGAAAGGCGGGAACGGAAGGCGGGGAGAGGATAAGAAGCTGGGAGCGGAGGCGGCGAGCGGAGGCCGGGAGAGGAACGGAAGCGGTAGCGGGAGCGGATGAAGGCGGGGAGCGGAAGGCGGGAGCGGAGAGGAAGGCCAGCGGGAGCAGGTGGGGGCGTCGACGGTAAGGGCCGAGAGCACGGAGAGGGAGACGGATAGCCGGGAGCGGAGGCGGCGAGCGAACGGCGGCGGGGGCGAGAGCCGGGGACAGGGGCGGGTGAGGCAGCGGGAGGCAGGCGGGGGGACCGGGGAAGTGCGCGGGAGGAGAAGCGGAGCAGGCGGAGCGGGAGGAGGAGCGGCAGGAGCGCGGGGGACGGAGCGGAAGCGCGGAGGGAGAGCCGGAGAGCGGCGGAGAGACGGGAGGGCGGAGCGGGAGGCGCGGGCAGCCGGAGGCAGCGGTAGCGGAGGCGAGCCGGAGGCGGGGGCCCGAGGCGGAGCCGAGGCGTGAGCGGGAGGAGAGAGCGGAGAGGAGGCGGGAGCGGAGCGGGAGCGGGAGGCGGGAGCGGAGCGGGGAGCGGAGGCGGGAGCGGCGGGAGGGAGGCGGGAGGGCGGAGCGGAAGCGAGGCGGGAAGCGGAGGCGGAGCGGAGGCGGGAGCGGAGCGGGAGCGGAGCGGGGCCGGAGGGGGAGCGGAGGCGGGAGGGAGGCGGAAGCGGAGCGGAGCGAGGCGGGAGCGGAGGCGGGAGCGGAGCGGAGCGGAGCGGTGGGAGGCGGGAGAGGGGGAGAGGAGGCGGGAGCGGAGGCGGGAGCGAGCGGAGGCGAGGCGGAGAGCGAGGCAGCGGGAGGCGAGGCGGGGGAGGCGGAGAGCAGCGGAGCGGAGGCGGAGCGGAGTAGCGGGCGAGGAGCAGGAGGCGGGAGCGTGAGGCGGGCGAGCGGGGCGAGAGCGCGGAAAGGCGGGAGAGGAGGCGGCGGAGGCGAGACGAGCTAGGGAGCGGACGGGCGGGAGCGAGGCGGACGGAGGAGAGAGCGGGAGCGGAGGCCGGAGCGAGGCAGGAGCGGAAGCGGGGCGGAGGCCGGGGAGCGGAGCGGGAAGCGGAGGCGGAGCGGAGGGGGGGAGCGAAGCGGGAGAGCGGAGGCGGGAGCGGAGGCGGGAGCGGAGGCGGGAGCGGAGGCGGGAGCGGAGGCGGGAGCGGAGGTGGGAGCGGAGACCTTATCTGCCGGGTGACCTACAGCGTCCAGGCTGTGTTGTCAGGGGTCGGCTCCATACAGTTCAAAAAGGTTGTTCTCTCTTTTCGATTCGAATTCCAAGGGATGCTGGAAAGAGTTCGAATTATCTAAAACCGGAAATAGTCAACAAATCCGTTGTTGAAAATAATTTCAATTTTATCGTCACCTTTTTTTCAATTGTCGTATTCAATTTGCTTAGACACTGCTATAACGAAGAAGCTCAATTTCTAAAACTTCCTGGCCTTGTGCTGCTGCCTCATTTCATTTTGTCACGCAACGCCACTGATCATCAACCTCATTGTAAT